GGCAGAGAAGCACACGGACACAAGCCAATCGTGGGCTCCCAGGGAGATCTGGGCAGCGGTGGGGACGACGAGGGCCCAGACAATCTAGGCAGATAGGGGGAATCCTGGGATGTGTTTGTGTATTTGTCCTAGGCCTCCCAGATAGGGTCCGAGTGGATGGGGTCGGAGGATCGCGCCGCGTCGCCGATGCATCGGCGATGCGGCTCGACGTAGAGCCCGACTTGTTCCACGTCGACGTCGCCGATGCACTGTCGATGTCGACGTTGCGTCGCCGGTGCATCGCCGATGCATCGGCGATGCGGCGCGGCTTATTTTGACCCCATCTACTCTGACCCCATCTAGGAGACCTCTATCCCTGAGATCCGACGTTGCAGCAAAATTGCAACATCGCAAAAACACCACGCCTGGAGCCCTGGGCCCCATCTTTTTGCGTCCCTTTTCGAGCAAGCGCTCGATCTGTGAGGGCCCCATGGGGCCCGACCATGAGCGAAACCGCCCGCTGTGAAAAAAATGTAACGCCAGGATCTCAGGTACCCAGACACGCGACTTCTGATTTTTTCAGGACAGCGTCCCCTGAAGTCCCGACCCTTTCCCTGGGGCCGGTTTTCCGTCCCGAGTCGATGTTTGACGGTCCCGAGGCCCGGTAAGGGCCCCCAGGGGCCGAAAATAGCGAAAACACCGCCGTCCTGTTTTTTTTAACGGCGCCATTCAAGCAACATGCGGAAACTTACCTCCGCTCTTGGGGGGCAGCCCCCTCTCCAGTCGGGACAGTACCTCCTTCCCAGCTTTAGTAGGAGGACGGTCGGTCTTGCAAGGCTTGGCAAGACCCTGAACATTCAACGTGGCGTGAGCGCCACAGTGAGCACAATACAAAACTCCCCGCAACACTAGGAGACAATGATTCCTGGCACAACTGGGGTAAAGAGGGTGGACAGATGGGTCAGCCGAGAGGTGGGCAGGGCCAGGACAAGGACCTGGGCGAAAGTCCTGGACACGACCACGGAGGCTGAAACGACGTGCACACATCTGACACTTCAAACATGAGCCAACTTTGCGCGGCTCGTCATGGCCAGCGCTCCGCAACCTCTGTTTCCTGACAAGGAAGGAGGGAATCGGGGGAGGGAGCGGTGGCGGGCGGCCGAGCCTATCCGAGGTCCTCCTCGGGTTGGCTTCAACAACTTCTTGATGCACCGCCATCAAGCGGTCGAGCGTGCGAGAGGTCATTCTGTCTACATACAGGGTGAGGTCAACCTGTTCTTGGGACGGGCCAGATCGTTCAGCAGCCCATCCCGCGAAAAAATCAGCACTCCAATTCAGGAAAAACTCCTCCTCCCCAATGGCGAATTGGGCCTTCTGGTGGGCCGTGGAGTGACTCTTTGTACACAGAACCGCGACCCTACCAGGGCCGCGATGATCGAGCGCCGACCAGATCCGAACCCACAGATCGAGCATCGAACTACTACCAACTAACTGAGCTCGTGGCTGTCTCAGGCCCCGAACCAAGGGCAGGCAATCTGAATAACACAGTATATCATCAGTCGTATGAGTAAGAATCATAAGGAAGGCATAGAGTTCAGCACATGGACTGGACTGTTCAGGAGTAGGTAAACTACCACACATAAGTGCATCCAATTGGAGAGAAATCCCATCAGGATAACCCAAACTCACAATTGACCAACAACGTCGGAGTCGTTTATCCGTAGCAAACTTCCCTCCAGAGCCATCCAGGCCCCAAGTACCTCCAAGGACCAAGGACGCATTGTTGAGCCTTCAGGGAACCCCATGTCCAAAGGAGCCCTTGAGGTGGAGGAAGGTGACCACTGGTGGCATCCACAGAAGGAGCTCCACGGGTGAAGAAAGCACTAGCAGGGTCAGCACCACGGGAATCTTCAACTAGATACTGACTGCCAGCAATACTGGGGCCCCTCAGGAAGGCATTGGAAGGGCATCCCCAACATCGGTGAAGTGGGGTCTCACGCTCGTCTCCACAACGAAAGCACATGCCTGACGTAAGATACCCGCTATCTTGAAGTCGGCTCTCAGGCCAACATCCACCAACAACAATGGTAGTGAGTAGAGCAGCACTTTGAAACTCTCCGTCATCGAGCAGCTTCTTATGCTTGGCCCTGAAGACCGTGAAAGCAGCACCGGTGGCCAGGCCCTGCCCACAGTAATGTCGGCTCGCCTGGGCCCAGACAAGAGCAGAGCAACTAGCACGCGCAGCTGCCGTGACGTGATAACGAACATCAAGATCAGTTATCCTCAACGGCTGAGCACCCTCCAGCTGCCACTCGTCAATGCTAATGGGGTCCCAGCCTAAGTCGAGCACGGTAGCAAAGAGGGCTGCGACGGGGCCTCGTACATGTCGCCATCTATCGGAGGGGGGGGCCCCTTAGAAGCTTGCCTCTCAAGGACTCCCGAATTCTTCGAACTCCAGATCGAAGACCTTCAGGAAGCGAAACCCAAACCTCGGAGATCAATGTCAGCTGTTCAATACACAATCGATAAATAGGGTCGTCTTTGGTGTCATGCAAAATCCGCAACACCGAAGTAGTGCACGCCCCAGTAGACCAGAACCCAGAGCAGGAAGCGGCCGAGGAACGGATCTGCCTGGGAGCACCACGAGAGAGACCCAGGAGGGAGTGCCCCCACGAACCAATGGATATAGTACCTGGCTTATACACCTTACGTGAGGCCCCACACAGCCGAGCAAGGTATGCTAATTTACGACCACGTCGAGAGGAAATAGCTCGCCGCTGCTGGATCTTCCACGTGGCCCGTCTCTTGTGAGCCGTGGTGACGGAGCCCAAGTCCTTCACGCTCGCGGATAACTGAATGGAGACGCCATGTCTCTTAAACTCATCCTGCAAGAGCCGCTGCAACTCGACAGATGAAGCAAGAGCAAGTGGCTTGGCGCTCACGATGCACCCAAGATCAGACATGTCGTTCTGGAAGGATGCTGCAGCGGGCGGCAAGTAGCGGCACATGAAGGCTACTGTACCTTGCAGATATTGCGTGATGTCACCTACATATGACCTGATGGGAACACGAACTTGTGGGAGGTCTCCAAGGCCCTTTGGGATCCTGTTGTGAGCCTTCTCCGGTACCCCATACAAGTAGCACTTGACCCAAGGCATACTTTGGGCGCGACCAGCCAGGATAGACTCCCCAGACGCCAACACGTTAGACAAACTCCCAGACACTTCGAGAAGCCTCGGAGCCGCGTGCATGAGGAGCCCCAAATACAGGAAGTGCCCAGGGTAACTTGGAGTAATAGCAAGATGCAGCAACTTACTGGGGCTAACCGAGTCGAAGAACTTCTCGAGGTCCCAGTGGAGGGCGCAGGAGTGAAACCCGCAAGCATGGGCCACCTCGTGGGCCAGCTCCCGAAACAGCGAGGCCTTCAAGGCCGAGGATCCTTTGACCGCGGAGTCCGAGAAGTCCAAGTGAGCCCTATTCCAATCGTCGATGTCAAAGCCTCTAGCCCTGCAGTAGATGCGGTAGATACTAGGGCACTTGACGATCGCACGCTCCTCACAAATGGACTTGGGGAGCATGGCCATGAGACAGACATAGCACTGAGGTGGGAAACTCAACGTCTCTTCAACCTGGCGGAGGAGGCCCGTGAACATTTCGAGCGCATCGGTGGGCACCGACAGGAGAGCACGAGGCGACCACATCTCAACATCAAGTGCCGTGGTAGCCTTGAAACATGTGCGCGCACGGGCGACGTCAGCAACTTCCAACGGTGTAAGATCTTCGAGCGAGACGATGGCTTGGGGTCTCAGCTCGTCCATGCCAGCGTTCAAACAGAGAGACTGCTGATAGGTAAGGGTCCACCGCGCTCTCCATTTTCCCCCCGAAAACTCATCATAGACTTCGGGGCGTTGACGATTCCATTGGGCGTCTCGAAATACTCGACCCAAACCTTCTCCTCAGCCTTAAGATACCTATGAGCCGGGCCAGCACCTCGAGGAAGCGAAGCCTGCAACCATGTACGCGTACTGGCCTTGGTCCTAGCATGCGCGAGAGTTCAAGCTTTAACACGAACCAGTCCACAAACATCAACCAGGTTCTTCAGGGTCCCAGGGCTCCACGGGGGGTTGACCAGGATATCGTCCCAATGTTCAGTATCTTCTGGACTCTCAAGAGGCTCAATCTGCGAGAAGACGCCGGGTGCCAGGTCCGACAGAACGGTGCGGCGCTGCCGGGCAGCGTCAGAAGAGGGTCTTTTGCACGTGAGTTTCCACAACTCATGCAGACGGCTAGGAACAAGCGACCAGCAAGACAAGTCAGGATTCCGAAAACTCTGCGCCTGCACACTGCGAGCCATCAGAGACAAGTCTTTTCGCTTGAGGATGCTCCCTCGGCCTACATATCGGCGCGGGTCGGCAACGATTGCACATGCACGGGATAAAGAACGCAACTCCATAGCACGATACCAGGTCAGGTACTGCATACCTAAGCTCCGAGATAACCATTCCTTCGAGTGATCAATCATAGCATCATACAGGTCCTCAGGGATGATCATGGGGGGCACCAGGAAACCAGGAGCAGCAGCAGCCATGTAGGTAAGCCAGTGATTGCCAGGACCAAAGGCTTCGGGGATCTCCAAGGGCTTCACGCGCTGGCGAAGGGGCTCAACCATAGCCTCCAGGTTCAGGGTCACGTCCAGACACGCGTGGGTCTTGAAGGGGGGACGGAGGTCGGCAGACACTTCCAGGTAGGGAAAGAGCAAATCGGAGCACACAACATAATCAAGCATGGTCTCACCAACCGAGCACGTGAATTCAACGCTCTTAGGTACGATGGTTTTGGCTCCCAGAAGCTCCAATATTCCAGCATCCCCCAGGAAATCAACCGACATGTGGAAATCACACATCAGAAACCACGGGGTCGACAGGCCCCGAACAAACTCGGCAACTCCACGCAACCGATGAGAGTTAGTTCCAGAAGCTCCAATAGATGGGAGATTATAGATAACAACAACAGCAGC